TGCAAGGCTTTCTTTCAGAAATCAGAGTAAATTGCTTCCTCAGCCTGTGTGAAGACTGCAAAAGTTACCTGACTTCACACATTAGTTGAAGACAGAATAAACCACCCATCTCCCTAGGGCATGGATGCTGAAACAGAAATTATTAAAAATGCTTCTAAAGCAAATAACAGAAAATGTTTATTTCTTTGTAGTTAAACATTCTGAAAGCCCACTACTTCTTAACTGGAAAAGTGAAAAGGGAAGGGTGCATTTTGGGCTTAGGCTTTTCTAGTTTAAGCTGTTTTTTTGATCCCCTGGTCTTAGACAAACTAGAGGATTACAGTATGCCTTTATTAGTGTTGTGACCAGCACCATCCAATAACTACGTTTGTAAATCAGAAGAGCTGTCAGAGTAACCCTGGGGGTTTTTTTCAGGCTCCTGTTATATATATATGTATTATTTATATATATAATGCACATACACACTGTTCAGTTATCACTGAACTGCAATGTATGTCATAGTCATATTTTTATTGAAAGAATTGCAAATCAAACTTAAAGCATGGATGCATTTGCTGGCAAAAATTAAGTAAATTTATTTATTCAATAACAAGGCTTCCATTAGGAGCCTGTGGGTCTGAACTGTAATTCACTTACCTGTAAATGACAGCAGATATGCCCTGCAACTATTAAGAACAGAGATAGAAGGGAACAAATGCTGTTGTGAACATCTGCAAAAGACTGCTTATGCTTCCTGATTCTTAAATTGTTTGGAGAGGAAATGCTTTCCTAGTGTTTACAAGCAGGGAGGAACAATCCACTGTAAACCAAACTTTGTGCCCTGCTTATAATGGCCAGAAGTTTATGTACATACCTGGTCAACTGCAATAAACTGCTGCTTAACTTCTGTTTCTGCTCTGTAAAATACTATTTTTGTTTTTGTAAAGCTAAGATCTTTTCTATATTGGATAGGAAGATTCTCGCCATTAAAAGCACTTAGCAAATCAGCTACTAGTTTCTTCTGTTTGTCTCACACGGACATTAAATGGCCTAGTTCAATGTATTTAGCTTTCCTTAAGTTAGACTTTTTTGCAGTCTTGTCTGTACATCATACAGGTCACAAGGCAAAGCCTGTTAGATTTGCAGTCATCCATTAAAAGCTGATTAGATTTTCCTTGTTCTTAGTAATCTTTTGAAAGTAAGAAGTGCAGGTTGCTGTCTTGACAGTTCTCTGTGGCTAAGTTTAGAGAATAGAGTTGGCTAGGATTTATATTTTTCAAAGCCAAATTCCTGTATCAGAATTTAGACAATTGGTATGAATTAAAGAAGTGGACGTTCCTGACCTCAAGGTGAGTATAACTTGAAAGACGAAGTGTTTTAGAGGAACTTGTCTGGTGATGTGTTCAGATCTGTTTAAGCAGATAAACTTTGACAACATTGGACAAGAAAGCTCAGTGACTAAGGAAAACATCAGGAAAAGCCTCAGTGACTAAGAAGTCAGATGAAAGTTCTTTCTGCACCTGTGGCATGCTGTTCCAATGTGCTTATTTTGGTATCTGGAAGGTCCTCTTCTAGATATCCCTTTTTAATTATAGAACCACCATTTTCTGATATAAGAGGTGTATAGATTTGAGGTCTGACTTCAAGATGCTAACAAGTAATGTATTTCTTTACTTCTGAAAGAAGAAATACAACTTCACTTCAGCAGAGATAGAAGAGCACTGAACTTTCTCTGGGATGCATTCAGTTGCCTGAATTCTTAGACGACATGAAAAATGAGAATCACTTACCAAAATATAGTGGTATGGATAAAGAAACAGTTTAATTTTATGTATTTTTTTACATAATATAATTGACAGTCTTGTTTTCCTTATTATGTAGAGTCTAAATTAAACCTGTTAATATTTATTAGACAAATCTATGGTTTGTTTAGGTTAACTGAAGTTGTATGGTACCATTCAGGCACGTGTGTGTACACAGTACTCATGTAAACAACAGCAAGGGAAAATACAAGCAGTGTTTCACTTAGGCCTTATATAAATTCAGTTTTAGTACAGCAAGTCAACTTTACAGTGCAAATATGAACGAGAATAAACAGGATTAAAACTTCCCAAATTTTGTTCTGCAGTGAAGCCCTTGAAGGATTAAGAGGAAGAAAAGATGTTTAAAATTTCATTGCAGACCCAAGCACTGTGTTATTGTCTTCAATTATGTAGAGGAAATGTAATTAGCAACAGCCGTTACATGTTTTGCCTCTGTCACTGTGGCAAACAGAAGCACACAGAGTGACTGACTGTTCTAAGAACCACACCATGAGTGGTCCTACAGCTGACTGTAACTAAGCTACATATCTTTTGCTACCTCCAGAATACAGCCCTCCTACCTGCAGCACAAACTTCAAGATATTTGTCAAAATCAAGAACCTGGTCTCTACAAGGCAAGTTACACTTAAGTGTATAGACTAACTAAAGCTACTTTCACTCAGACAACATCTCATGCAATTCCCCTGCTGACAATTAAATACAATTATAAACATAAGACAAAAAGAGCTGGCTGAAGGATACAGCTGTTTAAGTACTTAAGTTTAGTCTCTCTATTTTCTCATTGTTCAAATCCCCTTTATATCCAGGTGGTACTGTTGCTTGAGGTGTGTTTGATTCATATAAGGAAAAATAAAACTTAAGGCATGTTTAGTATATTACAAAAAAAGACTTATTAACAACAGGTGGACTCCCTTCTTTCCAGGTAGGTATAATGTAAAAAACAGTGTAAATTGCAGAAACTAGCTGAGTTAGCCCATTCTGACCTGCTTAAAGAAATAGTACCCCTGGCAACCACAGAGAGAAACAACCAGCTAACTTCTTAAACAGCTAAGTAGAATTCATTTAATGTAAAAACACTGCTAGTGTTTTTAGACCCTACATTCCTGTATGTTTAGCAGTGTCTGCTATATTCATCTCTAAAACATTTAATTCTAGAATTCTAGACATGACATAATTAAGCAGCACTCATGGAAACTGTCAGTTACTGCAAATCTGCAAACACAACTTGAAATAAACACAGGGAACAGAAGCATGAATCCAAATCTCTCTGTCAAAGGATGTCATTCAGGTGAATAAAGAAAAACAACATGTTGAAAACTTGAACTCTTGCAAAGAATCAGGTTCAGTATTTCAGGTACTTAAGTGTTTTTACTAGGAATACAAGCAAAGACTGCTTGTGTGTCTTATGTACTGTAACATGAATATTTATGAGGTATACTCTGTAAGCAGTTGCCATAAATATACACAGGTATAAGCCACTGACTTCTCTGCCAGTTATTCTTTTGAGAAGCTGTGGACTGGACTACAGAACAGCAGAAGTCTACCTTAACAGGACAGAACCTGTCCCCTCCTGTACACTAACCTCCACTGGTAACAAAAAAACAAGTTCAGAAGGTACATTAGCTGTATCTGAAGAATATATATTCAATAGCATAGTGGAATTGTCCTTTTGGTATTATTAATACTATAGATGCTATTAGTATCTGGATACACACATACAGGAATATGCACATCCAGAAGTAAATCTTCAAAGCCATCTTAAAAAAATACTAGCTAAATTAGGAATCAGCTACATTGCAAGAAACTACCTGCAAAATTACCTGCAAAATATTTAAGGTGATAATCATTGAACTAAGACTTAATATAGCTACTGCATTAAAAAAATGGCTTGCTGTGAAACCTTAATCTCACTTTTTTCCCACCCAACCAGACACATGTTCAGGATTGTGATTCAATGATTGTTTAGCAGCAATCTTAGAGAACTGTAAATTCTTTTATTAACAGGCATTATAAACAGATACTACTACTTTTATTTGAAAACCATGAGTGCCACATGGAATATACAGCCCATGAATAACTTAAAGTATTTCCCATATTAAAAGGCAATGCACACAGCATACAAAAAGTATACTAACAAAGCTATGCAGATAGGTGATCAAAGTGTCTAAACTGATATATACAGTATGTAATTAATGTTCTGTTTATATCAATGCAGGCTTCTCTATTGCCATTCCCATCATGCCTCACTCTCCCCTGACACTGAATTTTGCATTTCTTCTTCCAAAATTGGTACAATCAGGTTATCCTTTGACATCAGATTATACTTCATCACAAATTTAGTGAACCGGTGACACAAGAAAGTTTCATTCTGGAGATGAAAAAAGGGAAAAGACAATATATACAGAAGGAATATTTAAAAGAACTGATGAACATACTAAAAAAATGCTTCTTGTCTGTAATTGTTTCATTAGATTTACGTATGTTAGAAAAGAGATGTAATGATGAATGATAAAGTTACATTATTACTTTTACATCTTTACTGCTTGCTTATAGTTACTACAGTTAACCAAAATCCCTACTGAAGTTCAGGCTTAAGTTACAGATCATTTCAACAGCACTTGGACAAGAATATATTCAAGTATTAATGTAGTCCTGGTCTGTTCTCTAAAAGAGAATTTTAAGGTATTGTGTAACTCCTCCTATATGTTATCCCCAGCCGCACAGAGCACAACTGCTCCATAGCAGTTCAGCAACCTTATGTGGAATTTGGCAAGGATTCTTTTTTACTTTTTTTTTTCCATAAAAACCAAAAAGTTGGAAAATACTGGAGGTGTACAAGCTCCAGTTACTCCTCTTTGCAGTTTTTAAAATTATAATTCCTTAACTGTTGTGTAACATACAAACAGGAAGTATATACAAAAGCAGCACTAACTCTACTAAGTGCTTCAGTACACTAAGAAATCTTTAAAACAAGATAGATTTGAGTTGTTTGTACAAAAACTCAAGTTTTGACCTTTTATCCCAATGAGGGAAATGGTAACTGGATAAACTTATTTTATAAATTAATTTTCTTTCTCATAAAACTCATTTCGTACAATTGATAATTAATCAGTAATTAACTCAAATATGGATCTTCTTGTGTGAAGAAAACATATAATACAATTGCAACACAGCTGTAACTGGTAAATGCCCTTCTTTCAAGATGTAATTTGAAGATACTTACTTCATATTCATCAAATATCTGCCGGTGATGAAAATAAGCATGTGAAAATATTCTGTAAATCCTTCGGCACACTGATCCTAATTTGGCTACAGAAGATTCCTTTATGCTAACCCTGTAAGCACCAGGAGAAAGGTTAAAACAGGTCTTCTGAAATGACTACTGTTGACATTAATTCTGATTGTTAAACTACACTATGTAATTACATCTGAAATTTAGACTTCAAGTGTTGCAGATACATTATCTGGAATTGCTTATTTTAGCAAGGAAGATAATGTTGGTGCATATGCCATATTTAAAAATTGTACTCTGACTACAAAACCAGTTTTGCCTGTCATTAAACATAATTAGTTCATTGATGTCCCACAGTAGATTGGTGGTGTCTTCTGAAGACTTTCAGTGGTATAGTGTTGAAGTCCTTTGGGTCACTGTGTCTGTCTAAAGGCCACCCTGGTATAGAGGTTGACAGTACTCCAGTGAAAGCCCCATAACAGCAAGAGATACTAGGAAAACAGTTTCCACCTAAAAAGCAGCCATCAGCTCCAGTAAATGGCAAACTATTTATAAATAGGCAGGAGTTCTTCCTGGCCTTAAAAGTGACAACAGCTACACCTACAAGTGATACATGCTGCAGGACTTCTCATGTTTTCAGTGACGGTGCATTAAAAATGTTATGTGTTTCCACCTGCTGTGTAAGTGCTTAGGTGCCACCTACTCTCTCCCTCCCCCTCTCCCTGCTCCCAAAACAAAAGTATTTTTACCTGCTGGGGAAATACTTATTGCTATTCAGAAGACAAGCAGCTCCATCAAGTGTGTGTCTGGTGTAGTCTATAGCAGGACACTGCAAAAAGAGACAAGCATGTGTAGGGGTGTGTGCATGATGTTGCCCTCTAACTTGTTTGAAAAAAAAAATCTTGTTTCCTGATACTTGTAACAGCATGGTACAGTTTTATTCCCAGGAGTTTTGCATAGCTTCCCTTGAGCCCTTTCTCCTGGTTGACAACCTATTTTAATTGGTTCAAGAAAAAAGTACACATGACATGAGTACTCATGACATGAGTAGTGAATTTTATGTACTCCTGAAGTAAAAGCTGTACAATAGGAACACATACTGGAAGTACACTGAAAGGAAAGAATCATTATCTCACAGTTCATTTGTTTTCCCCTCCTAGTCAAGTTGCCAGACTCTTCTTTTGCAGCCGAAATTAACACCTTACCAAAAAAACCCAACCAAAACAAAATCCTCATAGAACAGCCTACATCTAAGTACATCAATGCTTTTTATCTTGGCAAAGAAAAACAAAATCACTAGTGTAGCTACATGTGTAATGAGTGAAGCCCTGGCTGTGCAATTACGTACATGTAGAGAAGAAGGAAGAAGAGATGAACTGAGACAAGTGAGAGCAGGAACATCTGCTCATCTTGCCATTCCCCAATTTCAGGAAGACTTCTCAGTTGCCTGTTTCTGTCACCAGTTCAAGGTTGCATCACTCACTACCTGACCATTAGTTGACAGTGATTGCTGATTTGGAACAAAGGCTGAAGTAATTGGGCACTCAGGTAGACAATCTACTGCCATGGTGATAACACACTCAGCTTAAGTATTTTTATGACTCCACCACCTTTTAGGAGTAACTTCCCTAAGAACAAGCATGTGCGCTTAGTGCCAGGCTTATATGCTTAGTGCTATGGACCAAAGCCAAAGAATCAAGAGGACAGCCTACTCTCAGCATGTACTCTTCTTTCAGTCAAACAAATACCTTTTTCCATTGAGTTTTAGGCTGTCTCAACACAAACTAAGAGAGAAAAGAAAGGAATGTGCAAAATCTCCAATATTGCAATAAAAAGCTCCTTCGTGCTTCGCCTGCTCTTTTGTAAGGAAACCTCAAGTAATGTTCTTAACCCACAGAAACTTTCAGTTTGACTGAGAAGCCAGTTACAACAGTGTCCCTATGAACATATGACTTTGAAAGAAAAGCCTGCATTAATAGGGGTAGTTTTCCAAAATACATCCATACCTCTTTGGGAGTTTTATGAGCTGCACAAAGAAAAATCCACTGTTCAGTAGCTGTCATCTGAGTACACGTGTCCGGGTGACATTCACTCTGTTAAAACAATTGTTTGGTTATGAAAACCACACAACAGTGACAATGAGTTGATCTTTTAAAATCACTTTCTCGCCCTGTCCCCCACCAAAAAGGGTTATTTGCCAGAAGTCTTTCAAACCCTAAAAAACTCTTACCTCAATCCACTACTTAATTCTATGCGTATAAATTTAGAAGCAGCTCTGCAAACTCACAACAAAGTGTCTTTCCCAATACAATATAAAAATATCAAGAAAATAATTACCTGAAGCTTGACAGCTAGTCCATTGAGCTCAAGGCAGAATTGTCTAAAAAAAATTTGAACACAGAAGCATCAGTATTCACAATTCGTTTCCCACTGGCATAATCCAATAAAAAACAATGTTATACATTCTGATTTCCTTCACAGAACTCTTAATGTTTTTTACATTTTTCTTGTACAGTGAAAAAATCCATCACAACATGATCATTTCAGCTGATGTTACACCTGAAAAGGCAACAAGCTAGGAATTAACACACTATAAAAGGGCTACAAGTTCAAAGAAACAGAATGCACACCAGCATAGTTTTTTTTTGACTCAGCAAAACAATTTTTTGTTTTTACCTGACAGCAGAGGCTTAACAAATAATTCATTGGAAATGTTTAAGATACCAACTTTGCTATGGAAGACAGTGCTATTTCACAAATGCAGATTAAAAAATGTAACAAAGAATGCGTCAAGAAAATTGAGTTTAAATTCATGTAGCTGGATCCTTTTAAGGTATCCTAAGATATACTTTCTCCAAGTCAATTAAGTGGCTCAAGTCCCACCACAGATCAGTAACAAAGTGGGACTTCCAGAAATGCTGCTTTCTCTAGAGCACAGCTGAGAGTGCATTAATTCTTTAAGAGAACTCACCCCTCCATCTGATACGAAAAATCTGAATAAATTTTCCAAAAGTGGTAAGTATTTAGTGACAAGTCAATTCTATGAATCTACAGTGATTTTTGGTGTATGTGAAAAGAACAGGGGAAATTCTTAAAATGTGTCTTTGCAATTTTATGTATATACTTTTACCTCTTTTGAGGATTCCCTGCATCTGTTAAAACTATTCCAGACCAGAGAAAAGAAAAACAAAATGGGAGGCAAAAGATCAGAATATATAAAGTAGCTTAGTAGTTCCTCTTCCTGAAAAGTATATTGGATGAAGTTAGAAGACAAATGTAGAAAACAAAAATCAGGACACAAAGACACTGAAGTAATGCTGGGGAAAAAAAGGAGTAGCAGGGTGCAAACCTACACTACAACTGAAAAACACTTTCAGGCACAAACCACCTAGACTGAGCGTAGTTACTATGCTGCAAAAAAACAAACTGAGAAAAGGACAAAAAGTTGTGAGTTTCTCTACAGCTAGAAAAAGAACTGTAAAACACAGGTACTCTTGCTTTCCCAGCTCTTGTCCTGTAAGTTTCAGACAAAAATGTAGGAGCATCCAGAAATCACATATGAGCTAATGAGTGGAGATGAAGGACTGATGATACTAGAAGAAAGTGCTGTGGAAATTCATGACTGTATTTTCATATTCAAAACATGTTAATAAAATGTTTGAAGTGAGGTACAATCATTTTCTTAAAAAACATCAAAAACTCTAGATGAGAGCCCATTATAAATCTTCAGAAGGAACAAGAAATTCAGAAAATAATTAATACCAAAGTGTAAAAGTATTTTGTAGTAGAAATATGAAGTTTCATCTGAGTTACTTTCAATCTGTCACATTCAAAAAGATGCACTGCCACTATCAGTGAAAAAAAAGTGGAATCCAGACATGGTGTTGACAAAGGATGGATTCTTACCTTAAATGTTCATACTTCCATACACCTTCATCCTGGCCTTCAGGAGGTTCAAGGATCTTGTCAATGTTGGAACAGTCTGCCCTTATGTTTTGCTGAATATACTAACAGAGTAGGGAAAAAAATACATCTAGATCTTTTTGTGATTGTAACAGGATGGTGTATTTAGGATGTTACATCTTTGAAGGACTTAATTTTTCTCTTTACTTAAAAAGTGATTGACAGATTAAAGGTGGGCAGGATAAGAAAACTGATACAAAAATTGCCACAGCTGAAAAATGCCTTTCCTCAACTAGGAAAAGTAAAATGATGGGTAAATTTTACAGCTTTTTTTACATCTGTCTCAAAAAAAAAAAAAAGCCCACAGGAAACAACACTATTTTCTTAAATCTGATTTGTTTAAACCAGACATGGGAATTGTAGTAATTTCTGCATACAATTAATAATCACAATTTTTTTAATATACATAGGGTGCTTACAAAACTCACTTTTGTGCAGCAACATTGTAAAGAGATAAATAGCATGCCTTGTTCCCTGTTTTTTTTACCAAAATACAAAACTTGGGAAACTGAACTTACAACATTTCATAGAAGTTAAGTATAC